GATGCACCCCCAACCCATTAATGACTGAAAATTTGTAGGTCATTTTGGATACATTTTCCTGATTTAAAACTGCTGGGTCCATCTATTTAGATAAATATTCTAATGGACCTTCTAGATTTTCTGATTTTCTTATAGATGTTGGATGCTAATATTTTTCATAGATCTGAAAATTATAGAAAATATTCAAATGCATTTCATTTGGAACGACAACCTTCATTGGACGTTGACAAATGTTTCTATCAATCCATAACTAAGGAAAGCCTCCATTGAATTCTGAAGTTTTTTTGGTACATATGTATGTAATTTCTCAAAAAATAAACAAAAGAGTCACATTTTGTGCCACAAAATCTTCTTTTTGTCTAAATTTAAACTATTCAGAAGCATACGAAAAGTGTGCATATGTCTAGTATATATGTTTGACATCTGGAGTATACCTATGACGTCACATTGTTCAGATGCCAAAGACGATGTAACAGTTTCTGAGACTTTTTCATTTATGGCATTTTTAAGACAAAAAATTTACTTTAATGGAATTTATTTTAATATGTGGCATTAGAATGGAGACATCTGTATTGTATTATAAGCTTGGCCTTCACAAAATCTACGTTTTATGTATGACAAACTTAAAATGCAATCCAGTTGTCTCCTAAAGGGTATGTATTTATATATACAGCTAAACTTGTGGAAAATACATGTAACAGGGTATAAAAAGCACTTAATTATAATCAATCAATAAAAACTACTGGTTTTTCTATATACAGCTTAATTTACTTTAAAAAAAAATTTTGTCAGATAACTTAATAATGCATCATCTCAATGGAAACCATTATGATTGAGAAGAGCCATTACACCTAAAGGCTAAACAAACAATTATTTTATAATAATTATATATAATTGACTATTCAATTAATAATTCATCTATAATAATCAATAACTTGCAGGTTATTGCTTTCAAATAAAACATATATATAGAAATGGTTTGTGTAATTAATATAGTGCATGAAGGTAATTTAAAAAACAATTTCTCTGGGATCTTTGTTTCATTCACAACCTCAAATTTGTTAGATCCTACTGGAATATAAATATTAACAAGTCTATAACATAAATTTAAAACATTTTTCAACAATTCTAAATATTTCCATAAAATCAATATGTTATTCAGTGCCACATATGTTGCTGTTCAAGGCCAACTCATACAATATTGCAAGTGTTGCATATTTTGTATAACTTTAATTCGAAGGCATCTATATATACATATAACTAGCATTGCGGAAATGAATTAAGTTGTAGTCGAAATACAATATATAGAGTTAATTTCAACAGAATTATTTTTTTGGTTCAGGATGTCCTTTTTATAATATAAATTGTGGTTCTGTTCAAGAGTTTATAATTTGGTGATATACTTAGAAAGATTAGTAAAAATAATATCTAGAACCTCAAGTATACACACATGAAGCCGTGATGTCACTGTATGCTACTGTAAATTTTAGTTTAAATTCATTAATAAAGACTTTTTGAAAAATAGTCCTGGAGTGAAGTTTCTGTAATTCAGGTGAAATTGTTCCTTCTTATTTCATGACTACAGTTTCACATAATATCACTTGTTTGATAATTGCATAAATTTTATAGAAAATGAAATCGAACTTGCAGGGCTGTTGAAAAAAAATTCTCTGCCTGCACACAAAAATTTTTTACTCCAATTTAATGCTTGAAAGGGGGTCCTTCATTTCTGTATTGTTTAATTTTCTAGGTCATTTTTCTCTATTCTTTATATTTTTTGCCCATTATTCTCTATTCTTTATATTTTAGCACCTCATTATTCTCTATTCTTTATATTTTAGCACCTCTTTATTCTCTATTCTTTATATTTTTTTCCCATTTTTGTCTTTTCTTTATATTTTTTTCCCATTTTTCTCTATTCTTTATATTTTAGCACCTCATTATTCTCTATTCTTTATATTTTAGCACCTCATTATTCTCTATTCTTTATATTTTAGCACCTCTTTATTCTCTTTTCTTTATATTTTTTTCCCATTTTTCTCTATTCTTTATATTTTTTGCAAATTATTCTCTATTCTTTATATTTTAGCACCTCTTTATTCTCTATTCTGAAAACCCCATCCAGACACTTAAATATGATATTGACTAAGTGTGAAAATTTGTAGTCATCACTATTCACAGACGCAATAAAACAAGTAATTCAGTTGTTGTTGTTTGGTTGCTGTCTGCTATATCTACTTTCTGTTTATTGTTTAAGCATGAATTAGGAAGTTGGTTTCTCTTTTGAATTGTTTCACACCTGAGGCCCTTTTGTAGCTTACTATATATTATGGGTCTTGGTGATTCTTGAAGGGAATACAGTGCACTATAGTTGTTAACATCCTAATCCTTTGGCCTCTGGTGAAATGAATAGTTGTTTCATTGCAATCTAACCAGATACCTTCGAAGTCTTACAGATTTTTGAAGGTTTTATCGGGTGTAACACTACAAGTGTCCCTTTTGGAGCAGAATTGCTAACTCTTCTAGATTCCTTAAATTCAACCCCATAATAGGGTGGGGTTTGTGTTACATAATCTTTAGGTTTCTGTGTATTGTTTTATATACTGTTGCTTGTCTTATCTTTTTACTTTAGGCCATGGTATTGTCTGTCTCTCTTCTACTAATAGAATTTGGATGCCACCCAAAGTATCTTCTCACTTTTTTTCCATGTAATTCAAATAAACGGAAAAGGTGATAAATACATCATTCAAACATCAACTTTATTACTCAATGAAACCAAATTGACATTTAAGATATCAAAAAATAATAGTTTACAAGACAAGTGTCTATATGTACATGTAAAACAAACTTTTTTTTTCATCTAGGACCCAACCTAAAACAGTATTAAAGATAAACATAAGCACTACAGACATTTTCAGCTAAAATCTTGACTCTGTCATAAACATGGTAACCTTGGCTACTGGAACCCAGCTCATCTTTTTCCCTGAGTTTAGCCAAATTCTAAATCACTCTGAATGGAAACAAGTTGAAAATATAAGTACAAATTAATGGTCTGCCATCAATACCTGAATCAACTTGTATCCAATTACTAGCTGTCAGCACTGAAATTTTATCCTACAAAGTACTTAACAAAACTTATCATATTTCCTTTAGTTTTTTTTATCCCTGATCATTCATCAAAGTTAAGCTAAAATCGATAAAACTTCAATAACACTGTAATAATGCTATTTGTATGGATTTACCAGACAAATATCAGGTTATGCAATACCATATATAATTCTATTACATCATTGTTAAATGTTATCTCTTGTAATGACTTTCAGAGCTTCCCTCCCACTCGTGTAATGCCAAATTAAGCCATTATTCTCCAAAAACATACAAATCAAGAAATCCATGGAGATTAGTTTGTAAAGTTAGCTCATAATTCTTTGTTAAAACTTCATTTTGACTCCACTAATGTTTGTTCGTTCCTTTAAACAAATCTGCAGCAACTCTGTATTAGATCAGGCAATGGTTTAATACTATAGAGAGTTATTTAGTGAAATCATTCAAACAGTACATTTAGTTAATTGCATTGCAAACACAACATTTGTTAGGCTGCTTCATATGATGTTAACTTCCATGGTGGTCTCATTAAAGAGTGCTCTCTTCCAGCGCCAAGGGTCATGGGTTCAATCTCCAACCAGGGCAAATCAATAACTTAAAAATTAGTATTTGTCACTTCTCACCATAATAGGAAGCATTTGGGAGTAAAATCAAAAACGGGTCCTTTCAGAGTCAGAATAATCTGTCCCTGAGCTCTGAGGAAGTTGACATCTCTTTTAACAGACACTTATACCTTGTGAGCTTACATACAATGTATAACCATGTATAAAGTAGGTCTCATTGGGGTCTAAGCGTGACCTGGAATTGCGGTTTTTTTTGTAAGCGTGACACGTAAAAGTCAAATTATTGTGCCGTGAAAACAGGAAATGAAGTCTAGCGGGACACAGGAAATTACAAAAAGATGAGAATTGCTTACGTACATAGTGTAAGCGGGATACGGGAATCTGACAAAACAATAAGCGGGATCCGGGATCAGAACCCCCCAATGAGACCCCCTATAAAGGACAAGAACAAAATGAACAAACCATGGTACATGTAATAACAATTTGGTATGTTATTTTAAGTAAGTTGACAGAGTCATTGGAAAGTGGCAGCTTCGGGAACCCTCGTCTAAAAACTGAAGTACTTCAAACAAGTTTTTTATTTTTGCTTTAAGATCATTGATATGTACGTGCAAAGTATGAACAGTAAGGATTGTCATAAGAAGCTGGCACACACATGTATCATATTTATTTTGCCCATCTGTTAAATATTGTACATGTATTTCAAGCCAGAATAGTACAATGCTGCTACATGTGCACAAAACAAGTTTTGACCTTTCAAATGGATTGATCTTGCTTTGATATGGAACATTTCAAAAGGACTATTGAATCTGTTAAATTCCTTTATAATTCTTCAAATAACATGAATAACATTAAGTGTATTAGGACAAATTTTTCCTATTTAATATATGTTTAGAAATGAACATTTTGTGACAATGTTTACTGCTTAGAAAAAGGGGTAATTTCTGTTAGGAATTAGAAAGTGATAGCTTAAGTATTAATACAAGTGCTTTAAAAAAGTTCAAGACGCTTACCTTCTTTCTTACCTTAAAATGAAGAAAATATAAATTTACACGGTAGAGAAAATTGATATCAACATACTCAAAACCTTAACTCATGATAAAAGTCTCCTAGTCAATATGAAATAGGGGAAATAAAGAGTCTAGACTAATTTTCACGAGTCTAGATCTCTAGGACCCTGGGATGAACAAACGAAAGTTTAAATCACATATCTGAGTTTGACAAAAGATAACAGACTGCACCATACTTACACAAAGAAACACAGTCTAAATAATTTTTTTTTTACAATTGTTTTTGAAGTCAGATTGTTAAGTTATGCTAACAGCTACTTACCATCTTTAAACAATGCTGTTGTACAATAAAAGCTACATGGACACACTGGTTCAAACTGAAAAAGAGAACAGATTTATTACAGGTACAATTTTTTCTAAAAAAAACATGGAAATACTTAGCAGTAGTCAGTGGTTCTGTCAGGTTCACTGACTGTCATGAATTTTTTAACAAATTGTATACTGCACTCTAAATATAGATTTCAAAGATTTTTGGAACGAGAACTCATAAATGCACTCTGCCTTTTTTTGGGGTCACCTATGTAGAGTTCAGAGATAGCTGTTGTTGTACAATCCTTACAAGTTTAATATTTAATCATACTGTAAACCAACAAATTTTCGTGGATACATTACTGTGGATTCATTTATTTTCGTGGGTACCAATTTTCGTGGATTAAGGTAAACTTGCATGTTCGTGGATTTTTGATTTCGTGGTTGTACCGTAGTCTGCATACAAGCCAATAGAAAATTTATTATTCGTTGTATATTTAATTTCGTGGTTCACCTATACCCACAAAATCCATGAAAAATGGCATCCAACGAATAATAATGAAACCACAGTATCTGGCATTTAGCCCTTTCTGGCCGAAAACACGTAGATCTATTTTTCTTGATTTTCTTGATTCGTGTACATCATAGGTGAAGATTCAAGTTTCACATATTCATGACAATTTATTTTCCCCTTGTTTTTCAACTCGTGAAAAATAAATCGTTAATGAAAACTAGTTTGTTTACATTTTTTTTCTCACTTTTTTACTTTAACATTAACAAAGAAATTTTGACATGGTATACATGTATTTGTTTTCTGTCCTCATTCAACCTCTAATTGTACCTGTTCCTCTCTAGATTTTACACTGATACTGTTTAAACAAATGTTAGTCCAGTTATTGTTAGTATTTAAGTTAAGAATGAGCTTTCAGTTTTTTTTCTTTCTACCTTGTGCCTATTTTGCAGATGGCTATTGTTCCAGCTGCTGACAGCTAATACCAATTTCTCTCATTAAAGTATGCCAGTTAAATAATGAAGTTAATAGCACATCTGTTATATATATAACACTTCAGAAGCATGAAAAGATCATCATTAATTTATAAACTTGTAACTTATCATACTTGATCAAAGCTTTATGAAGTAATAATTAACGTAACACTTATGTCGGACATCAAGATAATTAATAATTCAACTACAGATTTTCTTGATTAAAGGTGAAACAATAAGCTTTCTTATCAGTGCAGAAAATACCTTTATACTAGATCAATCTTAGAGCGAGATTATACCTTGTCAAGATTACTTATATCTCACCTATATCAAAACAGAAAGTGAAAAATATAGCATGTCTGCAATAGTTCTAGACTAATCAATGTCTTTTGTTTCAGAAATAACAGGTTCATGTCGGGGCCTTTTAAAGCTTACTAAACATGCTATAGTGGATGAGATTTATTCATTGTTCAGCCTATATGATGACCTATCATTGTTTTAACTTAATCCTCCTCTGCTTACTGTCTCTGGTGGATAGTTGTCCAGGGTTTCTACTGGCGGTCAAAATAAAATTGTGCCTTTTTTTTTTATTGTAAGCGAACGCTTTTTGCTACTTGCCTCATTAGTAAACATACCACATCTCCTTATTTTCATAATGACATAACAATAGCAGAAAAAGGACTTGCTACATGTACTATATACATGTATGTTGGTTGTGATATTCATGCATCAGTATCTATATAAACAGTTACAAAAAAAATATTAAGGATGTTCGCTTCTCTGTTTCAAAATAACAAGCTTTTTAAAAGACTGTTATAAATTGAAATTATGTAAATAAAGGAACTGAAAAATAAGAAAAAAATTAAGGGTCCGTGTGCTTGTTTTTGAGATATAAGCCATTGAAAATTTGGCGGGAAATGATTCTCTCTAGATTTTTCATACATTTAACAGTGACACCTTTTTTCTCTCAAAAACAATGAAAAAATAACAAGGATTTTATAGGATTTTCAAAGATGGCTTTTTAAACTATATGTTATAAAATTATGAAAAGAAAAGTAGGGGTTAGCGAGCAAATTTTTTAATGGTACTACATGGATAAAACCAGAGGATTCCAAATATCTGGCAAAAATTCAAAAACAAGAGGAGCAAACATCCTTAAGCCAGAGTATCAATTTATCATCAGACTTTGTCAAAACTCATTACCACATGTAGTTATAAGGCATCTTAAACTATATTCAATGTATGGTCACCAAGTACTCTCGACCATCCTTTTCAAATGAACAGGTATACAAATGGTTACAGTATAAAAATATTTATATAAAGATTATCAGTAGTGTTACTGTATGAATGAACTTTTTGTCGCCCTTAAGCTGTTATCTTTCTTAATGGTATTTTGAAAAATTGAGACGTTTTTGCAATATTTTTATTATCGAGAAAAGTTGTGATTGGATAGTTTCGCTAAAAAGCGATGGGGAGTTTTGCAAAACTTAAAACTCAATCACATTTCAAATTTTTGATAGCATAATATTTTTATGCAGCGCTAGCATTTCCTTAATCATAAAAAATAATCTCTCATTTCTTTCAATTCTTCAACAATGCCAATTATTGATGCACGCCAAAATTTCTAATTTTTCAATATCGTTTTTTGTAATTCTGAAATTTAAATAAAATCTAATTGGACAATTACATCAAAGTAAACAAATATATTTTTAAATCTCTTTACTACCTTAGCCAATTACATATATAAATGTTCTTCATTAATGAAACTTTATCAAGAAATATTAACTATTTTCAGTTCAAGAACTGATAAAATCACACTTTTATACCAGGGATTTGTATAGTAAGACTATACAAATCCTTGTTCATACACAAGGATTAAAGAAATAGTATTTTTGTGGTTACTTGGTTTGGAAGTGTTAACAAATTATGCACACAAGCCGATACATTGTACATGTTGTACATGTATGATATATATATTTTGTTGAACAAAAAATTTGTGGGTCAACCTTTACTAACAAAATCAATAAAAATTACTGAAATTTGCAACATGAAAACTCTTGCAAAAGTAAAAGATACCATTTCTAATTTTGATAGCATTATTGGGTTTGAATGTGCAGTATTTCCTGTGTGTATACATGAACCACCAATTTAAAGTGTCCAATGGAGTGCTAATTTCCTACAGACTTGAAATGTATGCAGACTTTGTCAAAACCCTGAAATCAAGCTTAAGTATCCACGAAAAATGACACACTATTTTTTTCTCCATCCACGAAAAATAAATGAATCCACAGCTATAGATATCATTCAAAGAAATAATCATATAAAAAAGAATTCTGCAAACTTAATGGCCATGTCCTCATATAACTAAAATTTAATATATATCTGTTTATCTAATTCAATTAAGATACCTAAAGTCATTTTATATGGTGAGCTATAAAATGATGCGTTCTCATTATTTGATAAGTTTAGCTGTATTAGCATTCCATTGATAATTTAATGATAGAAACAGACATGATATATTGATTTGTTTGTAAACATACACCACATGGTATTGTCTAACATACATTTATCTATACCAATATTTACACATGGTCACAGTGCATATGACCTCTAACATCTATTCATATATACATATATATTTACCCAAAAATGTCATTGAATGTAATTGGATATCCTGCATTTATCATGTTCTACCATAAATAAGATCAAATTGCTGAGAGCCCCCCTTCCTGAATTACTGAAATTTATCACTTTGCATTAACCATAATATCTTTTTATTCAACAGTTATATCCCCAACAGACCCTCCATTCCAAAAAGTATATTGTACAAGTTTTATTTACACTTCATTGACTTTGCACAAGATAATGAAACTAGAAATAACTTTCACTGATGTTGAGGAGATTCCTTGAGCAACAAGAAGATTGGAGGTCAGATAGGAGATTGACAACCATGTACAGTTGTCGTGGTTGGACACCAAAAGTATCCCCAACCCATCTACTGGTATTTACCACCCTGGTCAAAACTAGCCTGGGGTCCGAACTACAGGATTCCAGGCTAAGTCAAAACTTCTCAAGTGTTCAATACATATAAATATAGCGTTTTTGTTTTCAATACTGACTATATCACAAGAATATCAAGCTAGACAAGGAAATAAACTGATCTTATCACAAAACTTAAACAAAGTAAACTATGCTAAAGTCAATAGGCTATGACTAAAAGGGTAGGGTCAAATACTCTCCATTACAATTAGATATGCCAATGCTTATACAACTACATACCAAATATTATATGGCTTTGTTCCCCTTAAACTGATCTAATCAAAAATTAAACATATTAAATTTGCTTAAGTTTCAACGTGAATAGACAAATAGAGAAGGGGGGGTTCCAAATAATTTCTATAGACATGAGACATCCCAATGAAGTACAGCTGCATACCAAAAATCATTCACTAACAAAAAGTGGTTCCCCTTATACTAACCTAATGACAAGTTTTTTTTTAAACGATCTTGACTACCCAAGAGGGTCTTGCAGGGTCAGTTACTGACCTAATCAGAAACTTTGATAACATTTAAACTATTGCTTATTAAAATTGTTTTAAAGTCAATAGACCTTGACTGAGTGGGCAGGGAAAAAATCATCTCCATGTGAAATGTGCCAATGCATATAGAATTCTGCAAACCAAATACCATTAACTCATCATAAGTAATTCTCCTTAAACTGACCTTATCACAAACTTTAACTAGCTAACTATGCAAAAGTTTCAAAGTCAGTATACCATGACTGAGGGGGCAGGGTCAGATTATGTCCATGGAAGTGACATGTGACACTGTTTGTACAAATGCATATCAAGTATCACTGATTAACATTGTACCATTAATGGTTCCCCTTAAACTGACCTTATCATAAACTTTTATATTGTTGACAACACCATCAGTCTTGGCAGCTGTATTCGCTTGCCATTCATTACTTCATGTTCATATTTTGCTTGAAACTTTAATTCATTAATGCTAATGTAACAACACAGCAATAGAAATTGTCTCTTAAAAATTTGTTCTAATTGGAGTGTATGCAACATCATATCAA